ACAAAGTCAAAAAGTTACTAAAAAAGTATGACGCCAAACGAGGTCTTAGTGGTTGTTGGGGTTTGGTTTTTTTATGACTTTTTAAATTTTTAATGAGCTAAAAAAATAAATGTGTTTGGAAAGGTACTAAAAAAATTATTTTTTTATGACTTAACCCAATTTTTTTTTAGATAACTTCTTAATTATTTTATTCAAAAATTGTATTTTAAACCACCCCTTAGCAAGCAACCGTGTGGGCATCTAATGCAGCAATACTTGGCATTATGTGATCACAAAAGAAAGGTTGACAAAATCAAAAGGAAAAGAGGACACATTTTGTTGAATTTTTCTTCTATCTTTCCCATAGCCATCGTATTTGACATGTTCTAGTTTTTGTTTGTGTAAGGTTGGTTTCTTCTATTTCATTAGCATAGTAGTAGCATAATAAAAATGATATTTGCAACTAGTTGCATTTATATTTTTCATCATTTTGTATTATGGTTAAAAAAGATTGTGATTTGTTTGTTCGTAAAGAAAAATAGGAAGAAAGTACAAAAGAAAAAGTAATGTTGTACAAGTAAATGAAAAAGAAAAACAATTATATAAAAATGTATATTTTTTAAATCTTATCACATAAGAATAGCAGAAAAAGAAAAAATGGAGTGCCATTTGTTATATTTGTATCATATTATTGAACAAAAGATATAAATGATTTAAAAAATCCATTTGGTTCAACTGTTTTGAAAATTATTTTTGTGAATTTCTCAAAAATAAATTTTTTTAGGGAATATTTTAAGTTTTTTAATGTGAAATTAATTTTGTTTTTAAATTTCTCATACTTCGTGAGAACAAAAACAATACAAATGAGCCAAACTCAATTTTTTTTTTTTTTTAATAGCTGAAAATAAAATTCTCATACTTGGACTGTGGTTGGAAAGACTAAATAAGTGCACTTTTTGACTTTTTATGAAATATGGGTTGGGTTTAAGTTGGGTTTGAAGTGATGTGCTAGAGAGGTGATGTGACTTAAATAAAATGATGTGATTTAAATAAAATAGTGACTTTTTGACTTTTTATCTTTTTTCAATCATGCCAAACTAAAAGTAAAATACTCTAAAAATTAATAAACTTTATACAAAAAAAAAAAAATTAATAATAAACGTGCCACGCAGTATGAAACTTTGAAATTGGTAACTTTACCATTCACCTAATCATATGAGTTACAAAAATATATAAATTAAAAAAATCTACAATATTATTAAATTTATCAAATCCGCCTTCTTTTAAGTGTGAAACACTAATAAATCCTAAGGATAATTATGGCTGTGTTTGGTTTGATTTTCAAACCATGATTCCACACTAATAATCAACCCTCTGTTTGATTACAGTTTTCAAATTATGATTTCAAATCAATTTCAAAATTCATTTTGTAAACATATTTGGTAAACCAGAGAGTTCTTGAATTTTTTGTCTACTCGGTCGTTCGTCCGGACATCCTCCTGAACAATTTTTAAATTTTTGGGTCTTATGAGTTACAAAAATATATAAATTAAAAAAATCTACAATATTATTAAAGTTATCAAATTAGCCTTCTTGTAAGTGTGAAACACTAATAAATCCTAAGGATAATTATGGCTGTGTTTGGTTTGATTTTCAAACCATGATTCCACACTAATAATAACCCTCTGTTTGATTACAGTTTTCAAATTATGATTTCAAATCAATTTCAAAATTCATTTTGTAAACATATTTGGTAAACCAGAGAGTTCTTGAATTTTTTGTCTACTCGGTCGTTCGTCCGGACATCCTCCTGAACAATTTTTAAATTTTTGGGTCTACCCGGTTGTCCCCCCGAACATCCTCCAGGACGTCCGACCGGTTGACCGGAACATTTTTTTTTTTTAGCAATTTGCACCGGTTATGTGGGGAAAAAAAATCTATTTGTTTTTTATATTTTTTAAATATAGAAAATATTTTTTTGAGACCAAAATGACAAATTATTTGGACATTTATTTAAAATTAACAACAAAAAAAATTGAAATGAAAATTAATTTGTCATAGTAATTTTTAAAAAATAAAAAAATATTTTAAACAAAACAATTAAAAAAAATTTTCCAACCAAATATACAATCAAAAGTAATTTTAAACAACTAGCTGAATATTTTTTTAACAAATAATAATATTTTTTGAATAAAAAAAAATCAATAATTATTTTTTTGAATTGAATTTAGAAACAGTTTGGTTATAAGTTTTGAATAGAATTTTCAATAAAATTTTAAGTTATATGTTTGGTTATGATCAAATAACTTTTCACAAACTCAACACTCATTTCAAAAATTCAACACTTAATTCAAGATTCAATTTAATTTTTTTTTCAAAACTCATAACCAAACAAATTTTCTCTTTTCAAATCATAATTTCAAAACTCACAAACTCAAAATACAACTCCACACTCAAATCATAATTCTAAACACAAACCAAACGTTACCTACATTTTACCTCCCATGGCTTCGCGCGTTTACACATTGCCTCCCTGACTGTTATAAATGTACTAAAAAATTCCTTGTGGTTTTGAGTGATGTGCAAAAGTGACGTTTTTTGCTAAACTTAACAGCACGTGGGCCAAATGTGTCAGAGAAGCGTGTTTGCACTGGGATTAAGTGATTGGCGCCAAAATTGGGACTTGAATAGACTAATTTGCCCTTCCAATCTCTTAGCATTCTATACTTATATTTCCTATTGTAAAGATTACAACCAAACAATATAGAAACAAAACCAGTCCCCCCACTTATCTATCTTTCTCTCACTCTCTCCTACCCAAGTTTTTGATTATTCTTTATTTCTATATTTCTCTCTCTGTCTCTCACCTCTTTCATTGCTTCAACCCAGCTACGGTGGCAACCGGTCGCCCTACCACTAATCGAAGCTGATCTTCATAGCCTCCGAGGCTCTCGACGAAGCCCTAGGTCACTCCTTCTACTACGTTCGCTTTTCCACTCGCTTTCTCTCTCATACTCCCTCTAATTGGTTCGTCTCTTCGACTTACTCGCTCCGCTTCTTTCCTCCCCACAAATCGTCCACCAAACCTAGATCGAAGCTTCGGTCGGTGCTAGGTCCATTTCCAGAGCTTCGATTAGTGCCAAGAACATCTCCGGAGCTTTAATTAGTGCCAAGTCCATCTTCGAAGCTTTGGTCAGCACCAACCCTTCAACTCCCAAACACAATTCCTTTAGTGGTAGGTGCGATTTGTAAGGGTAGGTACGGTGTTCGATGAGTGGGTGTATGATTGCAGTAGATTTCATATATATATATATATACAGAAAGAGAAATATGGTAGATGGCTGGCTGTTTTGGGTAGTCATGGAGTGGATATGCCTTGGGTGGAAGAGGTTATGCGAAGAAGATGGTGCCTCATAATGGCTGTGTGGATATAATGCCATTGGAAGTATTTAGGTAGCCCAATTTAAAAGAGAGAAAGTTGTGGTTGTAAAGTAGCATTTATAAGAAAATTGAAGAAAAAAATAAAGGTATTATAGTCTTTTCATTAATTCCGCCACATCCTATCACTCTTACACATCGCTCAAAATCACAAGGGGTAAATGTAACAACACTGCTGCATACCCCCAGTGGAGGTCGCACCCCCAGTGAGGTGTCACGCCCCCACTGGCTGAAACCCAAAAAAAAAAGAAAAGAAAAGAAAACAGTTTTTTTTTTGTCCAATTATGGAGTGCCACCTCACTGGGGGTCGATCCCCAGTGGGTGTATGAGGCATTTTTCTAAATGTAATTATCCCTAAATCATAAATAGTGATCTTATGAATTGTTTGTTTGTTTGTTTGTTTTACGGATCCAAATTCCTCATTCTAGTGTGAATTACATAAAAGGTCAAGCATAAATTCACGTGTTATGTGTTGAAGAATATAATGTTGAAATTACTAAACGCAACCCTTCAAAAAAATCTCTTAGTGTACTTTTTCCAAATGTAACACTCTAATGTAACACACTAAAAAAATCTTTAGTGTACTTTTCTCAAATGTAACAACGTAACATTCAAAAAAATTCGTTAGTTTACTTTTCCCAAGCGTTACACTCCAATCAATGTAACATACTAAAAAACTCCTTAATATACTTTTTCCAAACATAACGCTTCAATATAATACACTAAAAAAAATTTAGTGTACTTTTTTCAAACGTAACACTCTAATGTAACACACTTAAAAGTTCTTTAGTGTGCTTTCCTCAAACGTAACAACGTAACATTTCAAAAAAACTTCTTAATGTACTTTTCTCAAACGTAACACTTCAATCAATGTAATATACAAAAATTCATTTGTATACTTTTCTCAAATGTAATATTCTAATGTAATACACTAAAAAACTCTTTAATGTATTTTTCTCAAACGTAATAATGTAACATTCAAAAAAATTCCTCAGTATATTTTTTTAAAACGTAACATTTTAATGTAATACTAGAAAATCACACTAACAGAAAATGTAGATTTACACGCTCAATAACTAATACTTCACTACCAGTCCCTCTAAAAAGAATCTTTCACACCTCACATTTCAATTCTCATCCAAAAAATGAATTAGAAAATTAGAAAAATGAATGATAAAATGACATTCAACTAAACTCAAATGACACAAAATCAAATAAATACATCTTTCCAAAATAAAAAAAGACTAATTAATTCATAAAAAAATTCTTAGAATTAAATGAATCAACATCCCCTATATGAAATTTATGAGTAAATTTTTCTTCTTTTAAAAAGTATTTATCAAATTCAACTAATCTTAAACTTATTTCTCAAACTTATATTATTACTTAAAAATTTAACCATTAAAGTCGTGTTTTTAGCACCATTTAAAAAAATAAGAATTTATAAAATAAATTGAAATATTTTTTAATTTGAAAATTAAATTTTAAAATAAGGTGGTTTTGCTTTGTTTTTATTTATTTATTTTATATTTTATAAATCATAAAAAGTAAAACAAAAATGAGTGTGTAAACGAAATGGTAGGTTAGGTTATCGGCCAGCACATGACGACAGAGAGACTCATTGACTATTGGGTAATGGTTGCTTAGCGGTTAATTGTTGACTCTTACAACTTCCCAATCCCACTTTGGCATTTCTTCAAACACCTCTCTCTCAATCTTTCACATTGTCTCAAATTCCCAAACAAACACCTCTTCTCCAATCTCCAATCGATCCACAGTAATCGCATTTTGAGCTCCGATGGCCGGAGAACCACCGCCGGAGATCCAAATCAAGGTCCGCTCACAGCGGAGCGGCAACGTGATCCACCCTGCCGATGTAGAGTCGCCGCCTCCTCCGGCTTCGGCGGTGAAGACGACTCAGAATTCGATAGTGTACCAAGAAATCAAACAATCGAAGAAGTGGTTTTCATGGTTGATACCTTCGTTTGTGGTGGCTAATATTGTGATGTTTGTAATCACCATGTTCGTCAATGATTGCCCGAAGAGCTCCGGTTCTTGCGTTGCTGGGTTTTTAGGGAGGTTCTCGTTTCAGCCCTTTAAAGAAAACCCTCTTCTTGGTCCTTCCTCATCTACGTAAGCTCTTCAAACCTTCCAGCTTCAATTAACACTTTTTTTCCCCCATACAATTTGATGAATTTGGGTTTTTATTCAGAATATTGACCCACAATTAGAGTTGAACTTGAATACTGGGTTTCGGCCCTGTTTGGCAGCTTATTTCAGTTTTTAGTTTAATTTAAGCTATTTTAATGTGTTTGGTTCAGTTTAACAATACAATTTATAACTTTTTATAAGTCAAAAATCAATTTATTCTTTGAGTGGGGAGGAGAAGCTTAATTTATAAGTCAAAAATTAGTTTATGTTCACCGTTATAAACTATAAACTGTTAGATTATAAATTATAATTATTTTTCCACACCTCTACCTAACAACGCCTTTGCCTTTGCCTTTGCCTTTGCCTTTAGCTTAAGAACTTGAACTTGAATACTAGGTGATATATGATGGTATGAAGCTTTGTTCACGGCAGTTACTAGATATACTCATAGCCCAAAGGTCTTATTTTTGGGTTTTGAAGTTTTAAAAGACCGAAATTGATTCCTCTGTGTCATTAATTTTCTGTTGTGTCAGCTGATTAACTTAGGGGTTGTTTGGATGTCTAAATAAGTGTACTTTTTGTCTTTTTGGACTAAAAAATTGAGGATTAAAATATGAATGTTTGGTTAACTTTTGATTTTTTATGGAAAAATGTATATTAAAAAATTGTATAAATTAGTATGTAGAGGAGAATTAGGATTGGAAGTTGTGCAGTTATAATTTTTTACTTTTAGTAAATAATGATAACTTTTTAACTTTTTTTCAACTTGCCAAACTTGGCCTTAATGCAAGGCTAAAAATTGAGGCTCCGTTTGGTAAGACTTTCTAACTATGATTTGAGAATATGAGTTGTGTTTTGAGGTTATGTGTTTTGAAATTATGATTTGAGTGTAGAAAATTTGTTTGGTTATGATTTTTGAATAGAGTGTTGAATTGGGTTTTGAATTGAGTGCGGAATTGAATTTTGAAAATTTGATTTGACATGTGATGTAAGAAAATTTGTTTAGTTATGAGCTTTGAGAAGAGTTTTTAAAACTTAATTTAAATTGTTATAATTCATAACAAAACACACTACTTTCACACTATTAAAAATTCTGATCAACAATCATAACCAAATTTTTTTTAAAATTCAATTAAAAAAATTTATTATTAACAGAAAATAACATTAATCAATTTTTTAATTGAAAATACTACAAAGGAAATAATTTTTTTTTCAAAATAAATATTCAAAAAATTTAAATCATAAATATTTAAATAATTTAAATAATCTAAAAAATTTAATAAGTAAAAAATTAAAATAAATATTCAAAAAATTAAAATAATTTAAAATTTTAAATTTAAAAACAACTCTACACTTAAATCGTAACCAAACACATAAAACAAAACTTAATTAAGAAATTATTTTTAAAACTCATAACCAAACACATAACTCGAAACTCCATACTACTTTCACAACTCTACACTCAAATCGTAACCAAATACATAACAAAAAAATTAAAATATTTAAAAATATTTTTATAAAATAGAGTTTGAATTTATTTTTATAAAATATTTTAAAATTTAAAAAATTAAAATCGTAATATTTAAAAATTAAAGTATTTAAAAATATTCAAAAAATTAAAAAATTAAAAAAATCGTAACATATTTAAATATTAAAATACTTAAAATCTTAACAAAATTAAAATATTGATTTGAATTGAGTTTTGAAAAGAGTTTTGAATTATGTGTTTGGTTATGAGTTTTAAAAAGTAATTATTATATTTTGAATTGAGTTTTGAGAAATGGGTGTAGAATTATGATTTGAAAGCTCAAAACAAACACCACGCTCAAATCAATGGGTGGAACTATAATTTGAAAGGCTTACCAAACGGAGCCTAAGTAATCTGAAGCCAGTTTCTTTCTTTGTTCTTCACAAATTGCCCTGTTTTCATAAATTTGATAGTCTAAAATGATAGCATGTGTTGTATCACAGCGGACAGTGATAATTTCGTTGCGGTGGACAAATTTACATTAATTTAACTGTTATATCCCAACTGTTTCTGACATGAATTTGGTTTGCTGTTTGAATTGTCTAGGGCTATTTCTTTTCTGAAAATCTTCTTCTTCTCTACGAGGGTAGTTAATCTGGATTCTTGTCCACAGCATTCTTTCTCAATTGCAAAATTCTTGGTTACCATTGCACATACCATTTCTCCCATTTTACCTCACATTCAGTGCCATTTCTACAATATTATAGATGTGCCTATATTTAACTTCTTTCTTTATTGTCTCATCATTTTCATCATTTCTACAATATTATAGATGTGCTCATGTTTAGCTGAGGACCCTCATATATAATTGTGTTGGGTGACTGAATGTGGATGCTTTTATATTTCTGATGTAACTGTTTGTTTAACATATAGTTTACTGATAAAAGTAGGATTGTATTGAATCCTCTGTTGTTGAGCTGATAAAGTAAGCTGTGATCTGTGACCTTATTTGTGCATGTAATATAAGAATGATTGATGTTCTATCTAAGAAACTTTTCCATGTCTGTATCTTTAGGTTACAGAAGATGGGTGCATTAGATGTGAGTAAAGTGGTCCACGGACACCAGCAGTGGCGCCTTATCACTTGCATTTGGCTACACGCTGGAGTTTTTCATTTGCTGGCCAATATGTTGAGTCTTGTAGTTATTGGCATTCGACTTGAGCAAGAGTTTGGTTTTGGTATGTATTAAAATCTCAGTTTCATATTATTTTTGGGATCGCTATGCATAAATGAATCGTCAATATTCTGAAAATCTGCTTAAGGTTTTGTGATTATGTCAAAATCTATAGTTTACTAGATCCGGATAAAAATCATCACCTGATAGTTTCAGAAGAGGGAAGAAAATTATTGTCGGATAGTTTTGGAGGTGGGTACTAACATATTGGATACATGGTAAAAAATATTTAGTGTTGACTGTTGAATCCACAGATCTTAGTAGCTCATAAGTTGTTAGTTATTTTTATTTATTTTATATTACATAAAGACTATGTTTGATTCGCGGATTGGATTACGCAGGAAAAGATATCTCAGGATATCTAATCTTGGGAGGGCATTTTAGTAATTCACGCATAAGAAAGTTGTCCCAGGATTAATTGTCACAACCCCCCTGTGGACAAAAGAATCCCTGGTATGAGGGATAGAAGGGCTGCATGGGATTAGTTATTCCAGGCCAGTTTTGCACTATCAGATGTGGGATTATTTAGTCCACTCTTGGCCCTGTATCCACTAATCCAACGAGGCAATAGGGTTTTGAAAGGAGATAGACATGGGAACGGGAGAGGTGACAAAACTCTCTCAAAAATTTTCTTCTTGTTATATATGTTCATTTCTTGTATGGCTCCATATATTCACCCTTTGCCTATATCCTTATATGGCTCTTTATATATATATATATATATATATATGTATTCCTTATATGGCCTGTTGATAACAGGAAATATATATATATATATATATGTATTCCTTATATGGCCTGTTGATAACAGGAAGTGGTAAAAAAAATGAGTAAATTACATTATAAGCCATATAAAGAAATTGATTTTCCGCCCCTTAAGCCTACATAGAAAATGAAATATTAGGCCATTTGTGTAGTAGGATCCTTCCCTGCCCTATTATACTAAACAGAGTGACGTCCCATTGATCCTTCCTGTCCAACACTCTCTACACACTTTGCTAGAGCATCACCGAAATATTACAGTTATCATGCCTCAAAAAAAAAAAAAAAAAAAAAAAAAAGCAACATGATTTATCAATGGCATATACAAAACGACGCGCGTAGATGGAGGGTGAGAAAACTCCCAAGTTGAAGCCTTTTTTTTTGAAAGATAAACATGGACATCTATTCCCATCTCGGCCCTTTTAGATGCATTGCCAGCAACTTTGCCATTGTTCAACAACTGTTTTGGAAAGTTGCGACAACTGTTTTAGTAGCAATCATATCCACCGATGGTCTGAATTTAGGGATCTTGATATATATGCTGTGATAGACATTTATAGATGCTATCTTTAGTGCACTTGTGGTAAATTAATGCTCATGTCCTCTTATATTGAGTTTTTGGTCCACATGGATCAGTTTACAAGTTTTACATGCTTAATTTAATCTGAAAGTCATTTTAGGAGCTAGCATTCACCATTCTTTTGTTTTAGTTTTCTTTCTGTTTCGCTTCATGGGCTCATGATAGTTTAGGACTTCTTCTTCATAATACTATTAGTTACTCCAATTATGGTCAAAGTTTGGTAATTTAAGTTAATAAAGCCTTATGTCCCTCTACATGAATTTTTTTTCACGATTCCGCTCTGTCAATGGCTATATGCATGCTCGGTTAAATCAAGTAAATTCGTGTCATTCTCCCATGTCAGTTTTCATCTTCCTTACACTAACATTTCCATTTAGGGTGATCATACCCTTTCTTATTATTGCATTTATAAGTCTTCGTTGTACATGACCAAATCATCTAAACATTTTCTCTCTCAACTTGTCTTCAATCGGTGCTACTCATATCATATCACAAATATATTCATTTATAATTTTCTCTTTCCTAATCTTACTAGACATTTATGTTAATATTAACATTTTTTAACTCTCTCTCTTTCTTGTTTGGTCCTTTGCAGTGCGGATTGGGTTGCTATATCTCATCTCTGGTTTTGGTGGAAGCTTGTTGTCAGGTCTTTTTATCCAGTATAGTATCTCTGTTGGTGCTTCTGGTGCACTTTTTGGATTATTGGGAGGCATGCTTTCTGAACTCATCACTAATTGGACTATTTATGCTAATAAGGTATTTATCAATCTGATCTTAACTATGTGCTTCTTTTAGATAGTGATGGGTTAATTGTTGAATCTCTCATTAGGTCCTATCATTTCACCATTTCCTGTTTACATGTTTAGGTAGCAGCATTGGTGACCCTCGTGATCATCATCGTAATCAATCTAGCAGTGGGGATCCTCCCACATGTGGACAACTTCGCTCATATTGGAGGATTTTTTTCGGGTTTTCTTCTTGGGTTTGTGTTTTTAATTCGCCCCCAGTTCGGATGGGTTAGCCAAAGATATGCTCCTCCTGGATCTTCATCTCTTTCAACTAAATCTAAATTTAAGATATATCAGTGCATATTGTGGATTATTTCTTTGATCCTTCTGATTGTTGGGTAAGCCTGAAACTGAAACTGAATCTTTATCTGTTTTTTCAATATGATCCTGTTTTATATTAGATTGGACAAGTAACTTGAATTCTTTAGAATTGCTGGCCTTAGTGTCTGCAATTACTATGCTTGACAATAACATAGGTGGGCCTCATTTGGTTTGGCTTGAAAGTTGGCCTTTTTATTTATTTATTTATTTTTTGTCTTTTTAAAAAATTTTCCAATTAGCATTTATATATATTAAAAAAAGAAAAAGAAAAATCTGGTTTGGAAGGAGGCCTTAATTTCCTGTAGCTTTTATTGTCACATGCTTGCTGAATGTCCAGCAGTCTGTCGGACACACTGCTCATTTGAAACCTGTCTCTACCCCATTGGAATTGTCTCAAATTTCCGTTTGGCACTAATATTGTTTAATGATTATTGATTCATAAAATAATATCATGAGTGGGAAACAAACGGAAAGTTTGTTACCCGGTGTTTCTTCAAATGACCATCCGTTTTTTGGGAGCGCAACTGTATGCGCAAAATGTCTAATAGGCTTTTCCTGCTTTAAATCAACATGTATGCCCTAATTGACTTTGAACCCATGGTAATTTTTACAGGTTTACAGTCGGCCTAGTTTTGCTTCTTCGTGGGGTTAATGCAAATGATCGCTGTTCTTGGTGCCATTATTTGAGTTGCATTCCTACTTCGAAGTGGAGTTGCAACTCACAGCCTGTGTCCTGCATGGTAAGTATTGGTGACATGCTTTTTTCTTTCCTCCTACCAAATTTTCCTGTCCGTGCATTTCAATAGGGTTAAATGTTAATCTAAGTAGCACAGACATGGATATAACATAACACAGACATGCCGATAAGACAATGACATGTTAAAATTTTATATTTTTATAAGTTTATTGTGTATGAATAGTTTATTCATAGGTAATGTAGCAAAAAAAGAGCAACATAACACTAATTAAAATTAAAGAGCCATATGTCCCACAATCTAAACATGAATACGTCATTCATGTAACAATTCTATTCTAAAGAATGCAAAACAATCGTATAATATTGAAATACATATGCTGCATTCATCTTATAAATGTTTTAAAACATATTCATAATATACAAGCTACGTTTTGAATAATTCAAAATATTTATTATGAATAGATTCATCAAATAGATGGTGTTTGGAGGGTTCAAGAAGAAGTGTTACCGAAGTATCAGCAAAGTGTTTGATATTATGAATTTAAAATTGTAATTAAGACACATTGATGAAGTGTCGGATATGCTTTTAGGAGTGTCTGCAGAGTATCGGTTTTAGATGGGACTGTTTGGCACGTCATGTCTGCTCCATAAAATGTCTCTGCTTCTCAGATGTTGATCCTATCTTAGAAGATAATCCATGTTTTCAAAACTTGCTTCTGTGTAAATGGGATTCTATATGTGCGGAATCAAACCATCTAAATCATGGCATGTTAACCATTCAACTCAAAGAAAAGTTCATAAAGTGGATGGAAAAAGAAACTGGACAGGAAAATATATTAGAAACCCCCTCCCCTGAAAAAATAATAATAATAAGCTAGGAAGCAGGGTATTTGAACACGAAAATGGGCATTTACAAGCTTCCTGGACTCTGATTATGTTGCATTGTTTTGACAAGTTTGTATCGTTCCAGAAGGAACTATCCAAAACCCAATATTTGAAGTGCTCCGTCTTTCTTCAATATTGTAATCTTGACGAGAACACTTTCTTTTCTTTTCTTTTTTTTCTTTCTTGTTTTTATTTTTATTAAATTTATAATATATCTTGTATTATGTGTGTGAATTTGATGTCCATGAACTCATTGTCATTTCTTGCAGTCTGAACAACTAGGCAACCAGGTAACCTTAACATGCTCAAACACTGGCAAAAATGTGACCTATACATTGGCAAATCATACCGCTTCTCAGTTGCAGAACCTATGTTCTCAGCTCTGCAGCTGATCAATACAAATTTCGTGGTTCTGTTATGAGTTACTTAGATGTATAAATTCAGAGACTGGAGTTTTCACAGAGCTGTTCATTGTTTTCCGTTCAGTTGTTGTATGGTTTTTTCCCATGTAAATTGACATTGTCTCTTGAAATAAAAGCTCTCATTCTTTAGTTTGATTTGTACGGTTTATAAGTAATTAAAATGTTCCATTTTTTTTTTCTACGACATAAAATTCTTTCCTATCAGAATTGTTGCAAGATGGCTATTAATGGAGACTGTAATTACAGATTTACCTTTTTTTTTTATTTATTTGCTTAACCTTGTAGTCAAACAATTCTAACATTATTCACCCTAAAAAACAATTCTAACCTAGCCTATCGTAGCATTCAAACTAGGGATGGCCACGGACTGGAAACTAGGATAGTCCCTGTGCGAATTTGGGACGGAAATTTGGAAGATTCGGGGCAAATTTGTAGCCTCCTGTCTTATATCGTATCAGGACAAATCAAATTGGATTGTTATTGGGGGCGGAGTAGGGACAAGTTAATTTTATAACTTGAAAAATGAAAACATTAATAATAATTAAAAATAATATAATATATTATAAATAATAATTTATAATTAATGAAAGTTAAAATAGGTATAAAAAAAACAAAAATGTCAAAATGAACGGAAAATGTATTATTTTAATGGTATAATATTATTCTATTGAAAAATAAATAAAGAATATATAATTGATTTATATATAAATATATTTAATAAATATAATCAAAATATGAGTGAGTTAGAACAGGATAGGTAAATTAAAATTCATCCCCAATTGGGCCGAAAAAAACCTTGCAAATAAAAAATTACAGTCTCCACTTTTTATTGCAAATATTTTTAGTTGTGAATATATAAACCATTGATTTTCATTAAATTTTAGAAAAATAATATATAAGGCCATTTTTTTATATTCATTACCCAATGATGTGTAAGTGATATGATTAGTTAATGATTATAAAAGATATGAGAGAGAATGTTACCTTTAACACCACATCAGTGGGTTTGGAATTGGGTCTAATTTTTTATCTATTCAATGCTCTAATTTTTATTTCATAAAGAAAAATTATATAAAAGTCTACTTTTTAGACCTACTCTCTAAACGCAATCATGATTGGTTGATAATTACAAAATATTTAATTATCAACCAATCATCTTCTTCACATATTACTAAGAGGATGTTTGAGATGATATAAATAAATATACTTTTTGACTTTTTATGAAAAGATGTACGCAAAAAAAGATAATGCGGCATAAAAAAATAAAAAGATAAAAAAATATATCTTTGTAGGGGATGCCAAATAGTGCTTAAGGCCTTGTTTAGGAACATGCTAATTTAGTAACTGTACGGGGAGCAAATATTCCGGCAAGCCCGTACTCCTTTCTTCCGAGCTCCGTCTCTGTCCGATCACCTGCGAGCCAATAAGGGTGAGCTACCCGGCGGTGTGTGGCCGGAAAAACCCTCCGACGATCAAGTTAGCACACACCTTAGGATAGAGAGAGAGAGGAGTGTTTGAGTGTAAGAATTTCTTTACCAAAATGTTCGTGTGTCCGCGTACGGGGGGCGTTCACATGCATATACCCTTTGCGCCCCATATTTACTCCCAGTCATCTCTTGACACGTGGCTCCCCTATCCCATCTGTCAGCATAAACCTTGCTGACCATCACCTAATCTCAACTGCCTGCCTTCACAGCTGGAGCTCGGTAGCTGAGCTGCTCTATCCACTGTTGTGCCGTGCTTCATACCCAAGCACTTCACTGGCTAAGCCCAAGGAGGACCGGGCTAGGTGGCATCTCGGCAAAACCGAGCCCGGGGCACCTCCTGTGGTCGGCCTTCCTGCCGATCAAACGGTTGCCTTGGTTGAACACGCCTTTCCGGGCGCCAGTCACTCAGCTTGTCTGGCTTCAGCCATCCCCTGATCAAGCAGCTCGGTCCAACCGAGCACTGCCTGCCGAGCAGCATCTTTACGGTCTGGGGCGGCACACACTTGGCCCATTTTCTGCCCGGTCCAAGTTCTGGCAGCCCATCTCCGGGCGGATAGTCGATCATCTCGGCCCCATGCACTGTTGGGCTCTCAACCTGCCCGGCCGTTACCTCGGCCCAATTCCAGATCATAAATCACCCTCTCAGTAACTTTTTAGCTATTTGGCTAAAATATGAGCTAAAAAAAATTAGTATGTTTGTGATGACTTTTTGATTTTTTACGAAAAAATGTGCAAAAAGTAGAGAGAAAAGAGAATCTTTGACTTTTTGGTATGAGTTGTTGACTTTTTGGCTAATTTAAGTAACTTTTTGATTTTTTGGCTAAAATGGAGGGTTCCCAAACGAGGCCTAAATCCAAATCTAAAAAGTGGGCCTACTAATTTAGGCTTCATTTGGCTATATGGGTTGGGTTAGGTTGGGTTGGGACTAAATTAGAAACTAAAAGACAAAATATGTTAAAAAATTAATAAGATAAAATGTCACATTTAAATCATAATTATTTCATTTTTTCTCTCACAAAATTTTTAAAAAACAACTCAAATGAACTTTTTAATTCCAAACTAAAAAAATCTCAACTCTAAAAAACCAAGTAAAACCGTTTTTGCCAAACCACGACTTATTTTCTAACTTTTAAATGGCAAATTACCAACAAGTCCTCTTTGAAAGAGGTGTGACCTATTTAGTTCCACAACATTTTGTTTATACCTAAAAGTCCTATAACGTTTTTCTTCTTCTTTGTCTATTTCTCTTCTTGATTTCTGGCAATTGGCGACCGGCTACCACATTTTGCTTCTTCTTTTTTCTCTTTCTGATATATAGTCACTGGTGACCAACGATCACCATCGATTAGGATTCATCGGCAACCATCGACCACTGACTCTTTACTTCACCCTCACCGATGGTGAAGACGATATGTTTCGACAACGAAGATGTCTAGATCTACTTAGGTCTAGATCTACAAAAAGATGTTCAAAATATTGCTAGTAAACATATTTTTAACCGTTGGCAATCTATTTTAAATATCTTTGATTTTGATATTGAATACATTCCTGGTAGTCAAAATTTTATCCCTGATTTTCTTACCCAAGAATTTTTGCAGGGGGGATGGTGCGCATCATGTCTACTCCTTATTGTTTTACACATAAGTTAGCAGTCACCCGATATCGCAAATTGATTCGTTGTTGCTCATTCAAAATAACCTATTTAAAAATAATTAACCAAGATCCTTATTTACAATTCCAGCAAATTCACAGTCAATGCAATTTGATTTCCCATTACACTAATCTTCTCAATTTCCATATTGATAAGCTAGATCTCCTCAGTAGATGCTAATCAAATTCTGTTTGTTCAACTACAGATGTTAAGTCAAAAGCCTCTTTCTAAACTTGCCATTGTTCCAATCAGTCAACCTATTGTTGCTCCTCCAATTGATCTAGTCAACAGATGCCAAATTCTTAGTAACATTCATAAACCTAGTTACATTTCTGCCCTTGCTTCAAATTTTTTTACTTGTCAGTCCATTACTCCAATGCCTCCTAATAATCCATACAAATCTACAAGAACAGATTATGTTTTTAAACCCCAACCAGTCCATCTTTTCTACAATGAACTAGTTCATAAAAATATTCGCAATGTCAATGAACTAGTTACATCTTATTTCCCTTCTAGATGGCATTTCATTCATTCCCATCCAGAAAAGTCAATTACTTTTTATAAAGACATCCTCTTTCATCACCAGTCCATAGTCACCAAACCCATCTATGACCGAGTCAATGCTAGTAAAATCATTTACCATTCTTTATACATACACAATATTGTATCCATGGATGAATGGGGTCTCCCTTTTCTCCTTCGTGACCTTCCCAATCACATGATACAATATAGTTACTATAATTATATTGATGCATGGTTTAAGGTCCTTCTCCACCAAAATGAGTCGTACAATTATTCCTGGCTTTTCTCTTTTGACCATAAATTCAAGTTAGAATTTCCTTTATGGTTTCTAAAATGGTGGTCTTAACATGGTGTCATCCCATAAATTATTCCTACTAATTTAATAGAACAAGTCAATTATTTCTCTTCAGTTTATAAATTGAGTCAACATAAAAGTCAATTCCCTATATTGCTCCATTTTATGTCCAAATATAAAGTCTCTTGGATATTTAAATAGCAATACAATATTTCCAACAGTTGCCAGCATTTTGTCAAATTGTGGGATGCTTTCAAAGCCCAATCTTCTCAGCAGAACCCAATTGCTTCAGTCACTCAAAGAAGCCCACTTCCTCTTACTACAATCAAATTTGGGAGCCCAACAGCCAGTTCTAGGCCTTCAAAAGCCGAGTCATCCAAGTCACAAGTCCAAGACCATTAATGAATAACTTATTCAGATTGCAAAGTTACTATTGGCCTAAGCCAAGTCACAAGATGAAAATGATGCTTCACATGGATCAACCTCATCCGAAGCCTCTACTAGCCATGATCTATATGGTCCACAATTCCAAGATACTCAGGACCCATATGCCTAAAATAGTCACTGGATTCCATATATACATCAGCATTAGTCACTACTCTTATTTTGAGAAAGCTGCTGATATATATATTGATTCTCTATCAGTCATTTGTGTTATTGATTCCCCATCAGTCAACTGTGCAGTCACGAGAGAGAAAGAGGGGGAAATAAAAAAAAGTTAAAAGTAGACAGCTTTCCATCAGTCATCACAGTTGCCCACAACACCCATGTGCCTCATATTTTTCGACTTTTGAAGTCATAAGCCTCACAGTGTGCCTCCTACTTTCTAGCTTTTGAAGTCACAAGCCTCACAATCATCTGCTTGGCTTATAAAAGAACTTTTCTAATCAGGAAGAAGGTAGAATTTTCAAGAATTGTGAATCAACCTACTTTTCACTCTTGCTTTTCACTCTCAAAAATTGTATTCAAGTTGTATTTTTGAAATTATGTATTTTGAAGCTAGGCTTTCAAGTTATTTTCAGTGAACAATTTACGATTATAAGTTAGTCTAATTTTAGTTATCTATCTTTTAATTATTTTATTTCAGTTATCTATCTTTTAATTACTATTATTGTTTTAATTACTGTCTTGCTTCCACCCTTTTCATCAGGAAGCTTAGAGGTGAATTCAATAGATCGGC